TTTGCGGTGCGACGGGTGCGAGACGGTCTCGTGTGTGGTCGGATCATGCTCGGATATGTTCGGATCATCCTCGGATCATTCTCGGATCGGTTCCGCATTGTAAATGGGGTGTCAACTGTTTTTCGTGCATGTGTGGTCGACAGAATTCCATTGTGATTTGCAACTGTAGGATCGTTCCCGCATTGTACATGGGGTTGCAAGTGTTGCTGGTGGACGAGTTGCTGATGGAATTGCATTGTGATTTGCAACTCTAGGATCGTTCCCTCAATGTAAATGGGATTGCAAGTGTTGCTGGCGGATGAGTTGCCAATGGAATTCCATTGTGCTTTGCAACTGTAGGATCGTTCCCGCAATGTAAATGGCTGTGTCAAGGTTGCTTCGTGCTGTGGCTGCATTGGTAATACTATTGTCTTTTGCAGCTGGACTTTTTAAATCGTATTGGAGTGGCTGCATGAAGGCTGCGACAGTGATTTGTCAGCAGATTTTCTCCATTTTGGCGCTAGTGATTTTCCTTCTAAAAATCCTTTTAAAAAGTGCTTCAAAATCGTCTTTTTTTCGCTCGGGCGTCGAGATCCCATCCCGGTTTTGGAGCTACAATTTCCGACGCCATTGCGCGTAGTTCTCTTGTGTTTTGCAACTCAGTCTCCGCAGATCGCATTGTAATGGCTGCGTGAAGGTTGCTTCATGCTGTGGCTGCATGCGTAATACTATTGTCTTTTGCAGCTGGACTTCGTAAATCGTATTGGAGTGGCTGCATGAAGGCTGCGACAGTGATTTGTCAGCAGATTTTCTCCATTTTGGCGCTAGTGATTTTCCTTCTAAAAATCATTTTAAAAAGTGCTTCAAAATCGTCTTTTTTTCGCTCAGGCGTCGAGATCCGGTTTTTGAGCTACAATTTCCGATGCCATTGCGCGTAGTTCTCTTGTGTTTTGCAACTTAGTCTCCGCAGATCGCATTGGAATGGCTGCGTCAAGGTTGCTTCTTGCTTTGGCTGCATGCGTAATGTCTTTTGCAGCTGGATCTCGTACATCGTCTTGGAGTGGCTGCATGAAGGTTACGAAATGGATTTGTTAGCAGATTTGCTCCATTTTGGCGCTAGCGCCAGCGATTTTCCTTCTAAAAATCCTTTTAAAAAGTGCTTCAAAATCGTCTTTTTTTCGCTCTGGCGTCGAGATCCGGTTTTGGAGCTACAATTTCCGACGCCATTGCGCGTAGTTCTCTTGTGTTTTGCAACCCAGTCTCCGCAGATCGCATTGGAATGGCTGCGTCAAGGTTGCTTCTTGCTTTGGCTGCATGCGTAATGTCTTTTGCAGCTGGATCTCGTAAATCGTCTTGGACTGGCTGCATGAAGGCTGCGAAATGGATTTGTTAGCAGATTTTCTCCATTTTGGCGCTAGTGTTTTTTTGTTGCACGTAGGTTTAGAGCAGTGTGAAGTGTGGGGCGTGAAGAGTGCAGTGTGAAGTGTGCAGTGTGAAGGAAGCAATGGGAAGTGAGAAGTGTGAAGTGTGGAGTGTGAAGTTTAAGTTTGGAGTGCGAAGAGCGCAGTGTGAAGTGTGAAGTGTGAGGTTTGGAGTGTGAAGGAAGCAGTGAGAAGTGTGAAGTGTTGACTGTGAAGTGTGAAGTGTGAGTGAAGTGTGGAGTGTGAAGTGCGAAGTGAGAAGTGTGAAGTGTGAAGTTTGGAGTGTGAAGTGTGCAGTGTGAAGGAAGCAGTGAGAAGTGAGAAGTGTGAAGTGTGGACTGTGAAGAGTGGAGTGTGAAGTGCGAAGTGAGAAGTGTGAAGTTTGGAGTGTGAAGGAAGCAGTGAGAAGTGAGAAGTGTGAAGTGAGAAGTGTGAAGTGAGAAGTGTGAAGTGTGGACTGTGAAGTGTGGAGTGCGAAGAGCGCAGTGTGAAGTGTGAAGTGTGAGGTTTGGAGTGTGAAGGAAGCAGTGAGAAGTGTGAAGTGTGGACTGTGAAGTGTGAAGTGTGAGTGAAGTGTGGAGTGTGAAGTGCGAAGTGAGAAGTGTGAAGTTTGGAGTGTGAAGGAAGCAGTGAGGAGTGAGAAGTGTGAAGTGAGAAGTGTGAAGTGTGGACTGTGAAGTGTGGAGTGTGAAGTGCGAAGTGAGAAGTGTGAAGTGTGAAGTTTGGAGTGTGAAGGAAGCAGTGAGAAGTGAGAAGTGTGAAATGTGGAGTGTGAAGTGTGAAATGCGAAGTGAGAAGTGTGGACTGTGAAGTGTGAAGTGTGAAGTTTGGACTGTGAAGTGTGAAGTGTGAAGTGTGGACTGTGAAGTGTGAAGTGTGCAGTGTGAAGTGTGAAGTGTGAAGTGTGAGGTTTGGAGTGTGAAGGAAGCAGTGAGAAGTGAGAAGTGAGTGTGAAGTGTGGAGTGTGAAGTTTGAAGTTTGGAGTGCGAAGAGTGCAGTGTGCAGTGTGAGGTGTGGAGTGTCGAGGGAAGGACACGGTCGGGACAGGTTGTCTTTGAACTATAGGTCATTTATGTTTGGGAAACTTCCGCCGCCGGCTTGCCCGGGTCTATGTTATAGAAACTACATAGAAAGGGTGCATCTCAAACGTGTGGTACTACAGTGGCGCCGCACCGTGGCGCAGGTGTAGGGGGATTCAATCAGGGCCGTATGCCGCCTCAAACACCGCCACTTGGCGCGCAGAATGGGGCAGCTTTGGGTTTCAAAAGCAAAGGCAAAATGTGTTTTGGGTGGCAATGCTACGTCTCCAAGCGGGTTGGCACTGGATGCTTGAAAACAAAGCCCAGTGGAGCTGGCGTGCTGAGGCCAGATGCCGGCCTGGTGTAAGCCTCAGAGAGCTCCGCTGGATAGAAGATGTTGATCATGGATGATCATGGTATATATATATATATAAGTGTGTTTAACATAGTTTTATAAACAGCATCTACTATATGTGATGCACGTAACGTAAATATGGTTTTCCTCTGCACATATGTATGTCTCTATCTCTATTTCTATCTCTATCTCCATCTCTACCTCTACCTCTATCTATATCTCTATCTATGTAGCTATCTCTTTCTCTAGCAATATCTAGCAATATCTGGCAATATCCAGCTAGATCTAGCTATCTGTCTATCTGTCTGTCTATCTGTCTATATATCTATTTGTCTATCTATCTACCTATCTACATATCTATATCTATATCTATATCTATCTACATACATCTACAGATATCTATATACATCTATATCTATATATCTATCTATATATATATATATACAAACCTCTATCTCTAAATCTCTGTACATTTTTACGTACATAGATCTGATCTCCTTTTCGACCGCTACGTGGCATTCTTCGAGTTTTGTCTCTGTTCAGGCCTCGCAACAGATGATGCGAATGCAGCCGACCCCACCACCGCAACACACGCCGAAGCTTCAGACCGAGAAGGAGGTCATGGATGCGACCTGTGGGCGTTGGGCCTGTTGGGATAGAAGAAATCTATAGAAATCTGGTGTTCAGTGGTGGTTGAAGCCAACTTACCAGAAACATCGTGCTGTGACGGATATCATGAGGATGAAGCCAACTTAAGTCGTGACATCACTGGAATGATGAATAACTGAATAAGCGAATAACCAGAATGAAACCACCCTTGAAACCACAATTTTGTGGCTTCCGTTTTCTTGGTGCCAGGTGCCACTGTCCACGCCACCACAGGATCCCAACAATTTCACATTCGAGGCAGGGGCAAACTTATGCTGCTGCTACTGCTGGGTTTTACCAAAGGTAGAGGTATTTCTTCCATTTATATCCATTTATGCAAATCAAATCATTTGGAAAGTGATTTTCTCAACCATGAGATGGACTCAGTTTTCTTTTCCCGAACTTCTAAGACATCATCATTGGTTTGGGAACAAACCCGAGACTTGAAGGATTGGTTTTGAAATGAACGACGAAAAAAAGGCTTTGCTGGGCTTGGTCAGGACCTGGGAACCTGGGAACCTCGATGGTCAAGGGACGGGGGGAACGCGAACTGTGGTAAGGTGTACTTGCAGCGACTGGAAGGAATGAGGCTGGAGTATTGGAGGGGACTATTGGGCTTTTTTTTTGGTTTATAAACTGAGACTGTGGCAGACCTATAGGACCTACAGTCGTTGATCCTGCCAATGATAAAGGTCATCTGCGAAGAAAGGGCCTTTAGAGGTTGAACATCTTGACACGCATCCATGAGGTTTTTCATGATATACAGTCTTCAGAAATGGCGTGAATGGTGAAGGTCCGTAAGACCCAAGAAAAGTGATGACCCTAGCGGTCCTAGCGGTCCTAGGGAGATCCAAAACCCCAGAAAGTCGATCGAAAATAGCCCCCCAATCTCCGTCCGGCTGGAAAATGACCAGCCATTTGTGACCTGATTTGCCGCATGATACCCTTCAAGTATTGCTGGCTGGTGGAAAATTCCCCCCATCATTGTCTATTGAGTTTCCACAGCTCATTGATCAAGATCCTTTCATCTAGCCATATGGATTGCTAAATCAGCTCTTTGGGTATGGGTCAAAGCCATTCAAAGCCTATTTTACCATATTTTGAGGGGAATGCTTTGCTATTATGGGATTAAAAAAGACTTCAACAGAAGGGTAGCTGGGTTTTACATGACACTAATTACCCATAGCCACTTTGTCCTCATGGATCATCAAACCCAGCAATGAAACATGGCAATGGCCCATCCTCCATTTCTAATATTTTTTGATGTTTTTCCCATTCAAATGCCGAAGTTCGGAATTTCCGAGGTAGCCAGGTTCCATTACCGGAAGGTAAACACATTATTATCCAATTATTTTCCAATTATTATCTCATTCTCCATATAAAACCATATAAAACATTATGAAACCACATGATAATCCATGATTCTCCCATTTTTCTTGGTGAAAGCCTCGCTCCCGAAACCTTCGAAACCTCGTTGCTTCGCCGGCCCTGGGCCGTCCTTCCCAGGCTTGGTCTCAGTGTTCTCCCGGTCACCATGCACGATGTTGCGGCGCTGTGGGCCTGGCAACCCAAGCATTGGACAATGATCAAATGGTGATGGGAAAAACATATCCAAATTATATCCAGAATATATGTCCATAATATACCAATGATCATCATAGAATGATTATATCCATAATGATCATATATACAGTAATCATTCCACAAAATGGTTTTGAATATGTGGTAAGTTTTTAACCTTTTCGATCATTATTAGGTTGCCATACCATGGAATTTTCATGGAATACCCTGTAAATCAAGGCAGTGAAGAACGTAACCCGGTCCCGTTTGAAGGTCTCAACCCCAGTGGGGCCGAGGTCAATGATGTGTCGGAAGGTGGTGCTGTAGACGCCTGGAATAAGCGGCTGAGCATCGAAAAGCCCATGGCAGGGTGTGGAGGTGGTGAAATTCACCAAAGATCACATGCATAGAATGGACATTCATTGGATATCCAATGGGATTTTCCCCATTATTGGTATATATATATATTACAAGGTATATATATATATGTATATCATGGGATATTCAATGGAAATGGAGAAACTCTGGAGAACTCACCTTTAATTTAATGGACATTCAAGAGTTTCCATGGAATATCCCGGTGAAATGAAAGAGATATACGTACTACTATACTTATGAATATCTTGCTATAAATGTGATGTCAGTGATGCCTTCATCGTCATTCCTGTTCCACCGGCATTCAGAAACCCATTTAACTTGAAAGTTTCCTTCAGGGTGGTAATACACTTACGCCATGAATTTTTCTTACATGTTTTCTATTGGCAACATTTGCATACCCTTGCCAACTTGCTGAAAATATCTGAGAATATCTAGGACCAGCTGCGCAATCCTGCGCATACCTCGATTCTCCGGGAGTTAGGTAACATTGCTATTGGAGAAGTAAGATAAGATTGGGAGCTATCTATACAATATTGGTAGACATAGTACTGATATAGTAGCCAGCAGGTTTATAGTAGGGAAGATGCTGTTCTACCTGGTATGTAGCTGTCATATAGCTAGCAGTTGGGTACAGTAGTATGTGGAACGTACAGTCAGTTTGTAGGCCGCTGATATGTAGCTAGCATTTGAGGTAGTAACTTAGCTGCCGCAGGTGCATAGCCAGGAAACAGCTAGATCTTACTCTAGCAAGTACTGTATGTCAGTGCGGAACATGATACCTAGGTCCTATAGGTAGTCTATACAGCATCAATAGGTTGGCAGTTGCAGGGCATTCACCAGGTTGGTAATGGAGGGGTGAAGAAAGGTTGGATCAAGGCTGCTGGGACCATATTACATAGGAGGTATAATTTATATGAATGTAGATCATATGCATATATGTACATAAATAAATGTATGTATGTATGTATGTATATATATATGTACACTGTACATACAGTACATAATGCACACATTATGTACGTGTATGCTTATGCGCATGTGTATGTATATGTAACCAAACGTATGCATCGGCTGTGGTCAATCCCCAGAGACACGTGGCACCATCAGTGGGGCATGGCTCAGGTCAGTCTGCCCCGCTTTCCAAGTCCGCAGTGGGGACGTCTGGTGTCCCAATTGACTACCAGTGACAGTAACATACTGTCCTAGAGGTGACAAAAAAGGAGCCTGCTTCTAGAATGGCAATACTGGTGGTCGCTTGCCGCTGGAAACCATATCCAAACCGAGAGCTTTTGATCGACACACACGCGCACACATGGCAATGGAAAATTCACCAACTTTCCAGCTGAGTTTCACAGTCCAATGGGTAAGTTTACATTGCCAAAGATCCATGCAGAGTCCAGTCCGCTAATCATCGGTGCACTTTGGCCTCTTGGAATTTTCCCCTCTCACAGTCTGCATGGAATTGCCATAAAATGGAGGAAGACCCAGCCAGTTGGACTGACTTTTCCAGCATTTTCAGCCTCAAATCTGGGATACCTGTGATGCAAAACCCGGCTAAAGGTTGAACTCCCCATTTTCTGTATAGTCTCCGCAGATTCGTTGCACGTTGAGGCCATCACCCGCGTCTTTGATGCTGCCGGGGATCACGCTAAGATGATGGAGGCATGGTGAAAACTTGGAGCTGGTGATAGCATTAAACGTGGGATCAATGGGATGAATGGGATCAATGGGATCTGCTGATTTCATGATTTTTGACCAACTGTTGGATGAAATTGGAGGATATACACATCTTGGGGGATGGTCATCAATCCAGAAGGGCGGTCCCGGGCTGGTTCCGACCGGTGGCGGGCAATCGGGCTGACCGGCCCGGTCAACCGGGCCCGGTCGACCGGCCGGTTAACCGCGGCCGGTTGCCCGGTTGACCGGCTGACAGGCCGGTTGACTGGCTGACAGGCCGGTTGACTGGCTGACCGGCCGGTTGCCTGGTTGACCGGCTGACCGGGGTCGGGGGTTCGCTTGGAGCGCCGAAAAGTGGATCGCTTAGAGCGCCGGAAAGTGGATCACTTGGAACGCCGAAAAGTGACATAAGAGATACATAGCGCTACCGCTAGAGTTCCATATATACACATAGTCATATAGACACATAAATGGATGCATTCATATGTCGCTGAAGCACGCAGGTAGTGACATGGGCAGATGCACGCAGATATACATTCCACGCGATCCGCTGTTCGGCGCTGGAAGAGCATCATACAACGTATCAGGAACATCTTGCAAGTTACTTGACGAAGATGTTACATCGTATCAGGAACGTCTTGCAAGTTACTTGAAGAAGATGTTACAACGTATCAGGAACATCTGGCAAGTTACTTGAAGAAGATGTTACAACGTATCAGGAACGTCTTGCAAGTTACTTGAAGAAGCGTTTACAACGTATCCGGAACATCTGGCAAGTTACTTGAAGAAGATGTTACAACGTAGCAGGAACATCTTGCATGTTACTTGAAGAAGTTGTTCCAACCTATCAGAATCTTGGAAGTTACTTGAATGGTGTACGACTAAAGGTCTCATTCCCTGGTGCTCTATTGTAATCCACCATGCTGGTCCCCTAAACCCTCCCCGTGTCCCAGCCCCGTGTCCCCAAGTGTTACCCTAAAGGTCTCATTCCACCATGCTGGTCTCTTAAACCCCCCTAAACCCACCCCATGTCCCAGCCCCGTGTCCCCACTTGTCCCCTAAACCCACCCCATGTCCCAGCCCCGTGTCCCCGCTTGTCCCCTAAACCCACCCCATGTCCCAGCCCCGTGTCCCCAAGTGTTACCCTAAAGGTCTCATTCCACCATGCTGGTCCCCTAAACCCCCCTAAACCCACCCCATGTCCCAGCCCCGTGTCCCCACTTGTCCCCTAAACCCACCCATGTCCCAGCCCGTGTCCCAAGTCAAACCCTAAAGGTCTCATTCCACCATGCTGGTAAACCCCCCTAAACCCACCCCATGTCCCAGCCCCGTGTCCCCACCATGCTGGCCCCCTAAACCCACCCCATGTCCCAGCCCCGTGTCCCCGCTTGTCCCCTAAACCCACCCCATGTCCCAGCCCCGTGTCCCCAAGTGTTACCCTAAAGGTCTCATTCCACCATGCTGGTCCCCTAAACCCCCCTAAACCCACCCCATGTCCCAGCCCCGTGTCCCCACTTGTCCCCTAAAGTGTTATCCTAAAGGTCTCATTCTCTGGTGCTCTAAGTGATCCACTTTTTTGGTGCTCTAAGTGATCCTATGGTGCTCTAAGTGATCCCTTAACCGCTGAGGGGCCGGTTGCCCGGTTGACCTGCTGATTGGCCGGTTGACCGGCTGACCGGCCGGTTGCGCTGACCGGCCGATTGCCTGGAATGGCCATATCCTATGTATCATGTTTGGACCATGGCACGTATATGGCAATGGGATATTAGTGGCATAACTATGGGATGATGTTGGGATAGTTGTGAGACAATTGCATTAAAAGCATTTTGAATTTGTAAGATGGCTATTGAGTGGACACCCTGGTACAAATTTTGGGTGTGTCCCGAAATTTGGCTTAAAATCTATGCCGAGTTTACTTGAAAGAGACCATGCGTTGCTTTTGGAGGGCTGTTTTGCAAAGTAAGCCTTCAGGAGCTTCAGAGCCACCGCAACATTCGACTGGTGCGGAGCCATGGAGCAGGATAGAATTTGGAGCAGGGATCTATCGCGGCATTTGGAACCATTTCGGATCCTACTGCTGTGCTTAAGAAGCTGCATCCAAGAACTGCTGGGGTATCTCTTTCTGGGACAGAGTAATGTTGGATTGACCAAAAAATGGAGGAGGACCACGTAATCGCATCGGGAGTGGCTGCCGTACCGATTTTTTTTGAGGTCAGGGTTGGAGGGAATTCCGGCTGCATGTTCTGATAATGGTGTTCGACAGCCATTTCTAGCAGTCACTAAAGAGACATGGAAGGTCTTATCAGGTTGACTGTGAGGTACCCGCATGTACCCGCACAAATTTGGATGGTGGAAGATTGAAAAATAACAAATTTGGTGGCTCCATTGTCTTACGCATTGGTACCCTCCCGTAAGCTAAGAGTTACTAACATAGAGACATAGAACACCCAGCATTTGTAGATTATTTCGGAGTGGAACCCATGTATTTCCATAGCTACCAAAATCGAGGCTGTGCTGCGACAGAGTGGAAGTGGAGTGCAGGAGAATCAGTCCACGCAAACAAGCAGCATTAGTGGGCCGTTTGGATCGGACATGGTTTCAGAATGTTTCAGGATGCTGCAACTGCATCAGTGGAAATCAGTTGGCCTGACATGTCCTAACTATATAATGGAATCCAATTAATATGGAGGTTTTATGATGTTTTTGAATTTTCGAAATTTATATAAACAACACATGGTCAAACAAAATGGACATAAAACAGTTTCTGTGCATTGGGACATGCGGCACCCCTTGTTTCAAGCTTGCTGGACCACGTAGATCACCAGGAAACATAGAAATGACTTGAGATGGAGAGAATTTTAAGATAGTCCAACATGGAGAACTTCGTGGCCAGCTTCAGTCAGATCAAATCAGATCAATTTAGACAGTTTGACCCACTGACCTGAATCGTTTTGATTTTTCGACCATCTTTCTCCGACAAAGTATGACGACCCCAAGCAACCGTGAATCACGAAAAGAAGAGGATGGGTCCTGCCAGTTATGATTCAATTTGTAGGGGATGAACACCTACGGACACCACCTAGGTTTGTCTGAAAACATGGCACCCCCAAATCCCATGGTTTCGTCATCAAGATTGCCATAAATTGGGCTAAATCCCTCAAACCCAAATCAGAATCTTTGTTGCATCCCATCATATGCCCAGAACAAAAAAGCAACAAAATAGATCCCCAACGATATCGCTGCTGTACCCCAACAATATATCCCCAAGTAATTCCCATTTTGCCATACCCGGAGGCCTGCTCAACCTGCCGCAGCTGCCGTGCCCGCGCCTGCCGTGCCCGCGCCCGCGCCTGCCAAAGCGCCGGCTCAGTTTACACCGCCGCTGGGACGGGGTTACCACTGGGGGCTGGAGGGGTTAAACGGTTAAACTTTCCACATTTTTTGGGCTGTTGGGCTGGTCATGTTCAATCCTTTGGGGGAGCAAATTTTGGATCCCAAAAAAAGGGACCTACTATTGGTATGGCCAAACATGGGGGAATAACATGGAATAACCATAGGACATGTTCTAACTTTTCAGAACAAACGCGGCATTAATATGTTTTGATGACTCTCCTAGTGACCTAGTGGGTATTGTCAATTGTATGTTCGATCTACTCCAGGGCGGGTACGGTATGTAAGATATATGAATATGATAATATGATACAATCTATCTACCTATTTGTTTGATGTACTCTAATCTGTTCCACTCTCATCTTATTGAATCTTTTTAATCTGTTCTGATCCAAATCTAATCCAAGTCTAAGTCTAATCAAATCGAATCAACATCTGTATTGACATTATATAATCAGTTATCGAAGGAAGTTTAGAAGTCAAACTTCCGACAATATGGACAGATGAAAAGCAGAGTAGGGCAGAGGCAGAGAGAAGAGAAAGATTAGAGGAGAGAAGAGTAGAAGAGAAAGAGTCAGAAGAAAGAAGATGCAGATGCGCGAAAAGGTAGGAAAGTCGCGGAGGGTCGAAAAGTAGGCTCGCTAAAGCGGCGGGTGCGGAGCCAGCTGGCCAGATGAGAGATGAAAAATTGCACGCCGTTGTGGCGCGAAGCACATTTCGAAGTCAAAATGTACAAAACACACCATGGTCGGAGCACTTTTGGAAGTTGAGATGTCGAAAAAGTGCACGCCGTTGTGGCGCGAAGCACATTTCGAAGTCAAAATGCACAAAACACTAGGGGTTCGGACCACTTTTGGACGTTGCGATGTCGAAGAAGTGCACGCCGTTGTGGCGCGAAGCACATTTGGAAGTAAAAAGTGTTAAAAACTGGCGGTCTCGGAGCACTTTTGGAAGTTGAGATGTCGAAAAAGTGCACGGCCTTGTGGCGCGAAGAACATTTCGAAGTCAAAAGTGTTAAAAACTGAGGGTCTCGGAGACATTTTGGACGTTCAGATGTCACTTCGCTTCGCTTCACCACACTACATTACACTACACTACACTACACTCCATTACACTACATTACACTACACTACACTACACTCGACAACACTACAACTACAACTACACAACTACACTCCACTACACTCCACTACACTAAATTACACTACACTCCACTATACTAAATTACACTACACTACACTACACTACATTACACTCCACTACACTACATTACATTAGACTACACTACCTTCCACTACACTTCACTGCATTACTCTACACTACACTCCGCTACACTACAACTACAACTACAACTACACAACTACACTCCACTACACTCCGCTACACTCCACTACACTAAATTACACTACATTACACTACATTCCACTACGCTACACTCCACTACACTACATTACACTACACTACACTACCTTCCACTACACTCCACTACACTAAATTACACTACAATACACTACATTGCACTACACTACATTCCACTACACTCCACTACACTACATTACACTACACTACATTACGCTCAATGACACTGCACCACAGATAGACAGGTAGAACAGATAGATAGATAGATCGATAGATAGATAGATAGATAGCTAGACAGCTAGACAGCTAGACAGATAGACAAATGAAAGCGAGAGAGAGAGAGAGAGATAGACAGACAGACAGACAGACAGACAGACAGATAGATAGATAGATAGACAGATAGACAGGTAGACAGCTGGACAGATAGACAGATAGACAGATGAAAGAGAGAGAGAGAGATAGATCGATAGATAGATACATAGAAGATAGATAGATAGGTAGATAGTCAGAGAAAGAGAGAGAAAGAGAGGAGACATCAATCACTTTTCGATCCATCAGTGGATTCGCTCTGCCATCCCTGATTCACAACAACCAACCTTTCCTATAGGTTTCCTATTTTTGAAACTTCCGCCACCGCCTTGTGCGGTACTACTGGTAATCATACGTAGTGTTTTTCTAGTCTAGTCGGGTCTAGTCAATCCAATCCAATCCATTTAGGGATTTGACCAACAAAGACGCTGTTTAACCACCACAGATAGGTAGACACAACCAACTTACGTCTCCGTTCATTTTGGTCGGTGCAATGTCATACATGTCATATCTCCACTTTTTGGTCGTCAAACCCCATTCTCGTTGGGTATGGAACATCCCTAGTTGATGAAGGAGCTTTACACTCGAGTCTCCCCAAGGAAATCGGGAGAATTGGCCGCTATGTTGTTTTCCAAAAAGTGGGGTACCCCCGAAATTAATTTAATGAATTTAATGGTGAATCATTGTATTTCCCATGAACATGGCTATTTGATGCACCCAAATGGTAGGACGTGCAGTTTTTTCAACGGCTGTATCCCTAGGTGTCAAGATTCATCCGGGGTTACGCATGCTTAGGCCCCCAAAGGCTATGCCAGCACAGCGCCAGGTGGGCCGATGTGTTTGTTCGGATGTTCCAACATTGGGACCCCCCAAAAAGCTACCATAGAACAGGCGTTTAATAGATCCAATAGATGATATGCATCTTTAATATGCCATAGAATGTACAGCAATATGTATACAAAAGAAGTGATGGCAAGTATGCGTCTTGTTATGTTGACAAATGTGAAGAAAGGATAGCCTTCCGTTTAGAACACGATGCTCACTTGTTTGACTCCTTCAAACGAGGCTCAAACCTTCTGTTTTTTGTTTTTTGCACGCTACAATTATCATTCTTGTTAAATAGTTCACCAGTGTCAAGCGAAGAGGGTTTCTATCATTTTCTATGGTAAACTCCAATTAAACCACCGTTTTTGATGGTAAAATCACCATGGACATCACCATTAAATCATGTGCGTTTTCTTGTTGGGGCTGAACCTTCTTATTGGTGAGGATGCCCGACCTCCTTGACACCCCGTGAATTTCACCGTGGGACGTTTCAGGATGACATGAGTCAGGCAGCAAGCAGGCTGGGTGCGGATTTGGAGTTGTTTGATTTTAGCATAAAATCCCAAGAGTCTTGGAACATGGAATCGATATATCCCAATCTTTGGGCTCCTCCGGTTTGGGACAACTGACATGGCCACAGGGTCGCGTCCGCACTCGGCACTCTGAGCCAAGGCCTCTGGGCATGTCCGGTTTGGCACCTGGATTGCCGGAGGGCGATCAGGACGCTCTCGATGCACAGTCAGGGGCCCAGGTGATGGACGTTGGGCCCAAGATTTGGGGATAGGATCCCTAAAAGCATAAGGTTTTAATACGAAGTCATGGTTTGACTTGGATGATTTGGGGGTAGCCGCCATTTATGGAAACCCTCATATCCATGCATCCCCCACCTTTATAGTTGTACCAAGCCTGACTCATCGCCATCGAGGCTGAAAGCAGCAGGTCCGCCAGGTCTGCCGATGCCTTTGTGCATTGCTCAGAGATGGGCTGGTTGAGGTCACCAGTCATGAAGAATTTGCTAGGAATCTTCCCAAACTGGGCTTAACTGGGCTTATTCTGATGTGGCCTCCTCCTGTGCAGCTTTGCTTTTGCTGAAGTGAAATTTTTTCTGAGTTGTACAAATGATAGGAATTTGCGAAGTTGCCACCATGTGCAGTTTGGATCAAAGGGATGATCACCAAAACAAGCCTTTGAGTCGCGATATTGGAACGGATGCCCTCCAGTAATCAAACATGGGCTGCTGGAAAATCCCACGTTTAGTTCTGATTTTCCCATTGAAACTTTCATTTTTCGAGGATTTTCATGGATTTTCCTATGATTTTCCTATGAGTTCGGGCACGTCCCAGATTTTCCACCGTGGCCAAGGAATGCGCACAGCGAGGTGCCCACTGACGATGCAGGCGAAACCGAGCAGCGATGAGAGGAAGGCAAAAATTAGGGAGAACATATGAAATATGTATGAAATATCATGATAGTGATCATCATCATGATAATAATATATACATAAATATATACATAAATAATATATATATATATACACAACACACACACACACACATATATATATATATATATACACACATGTTTGGATGTCTATTTACATATTGATCTTTCGGTGAAAACATCAGGGCTTCCTGTGAGGTTTCGCTTGAACCAAACGGCAACGTCAGGGCAGCGACCATTTCAGCAACTGGAAGAACCATTTCTGATGGAACAAGCAATCCCCATCCATCCCTGTTCATATTCAAAAGTCATACGGATCTATCCCCGATTTCATGGTCCCAAATAAGTGTAGATCCACTACATTCGCCATAGTTTGAATGGTTTTGGGTCCAGGTAACTACACAGATTCTTGTAGGTGGGGAACTACGAAAATGACCACTGCACTTGTGGGAGTAAGGGCGTTCATGCTGGATCGAGCAGCCAGGTGACCATCGACATGTCGTTCTACTATCTCTGGTGGAAGTCATTGTCAACCGAATATTTGTGTGGATCCGCATGGGTAAGTTGTGTCTCTCCCATTAGATGATGTGATTTCCTTGACAAAATGACCCAACAAAATTCCCTTGGGTCAGGTTTGACCCACTAGCCCAGCTCCCAAAAGCTGCAGGGGAGCTCTTCGGCTCCATCGACATTGAGGAAAGCGGGGCCAACGGTCCCCTGCGCTTTACGGTGCGCGAGTTTTTTCTTGGGTCCCCTAAAAGACAGGGGACGCAGGCAATAGTGAGGCAGTTGTCATTTTTGAGGATCTGAAAAGTCATTTTATTTTGGGGGAGTAGAGAACCCTGCTGATGTTTGAGCAACAGACAAGAATAAACAAATCAAACACCAGTACTAGCTGGTCAAAATTTGACTTTGTTCAATTCTGGTTTTTGTAAATCACGATTTGCATCTAAAGTAGCCTCCAAAATCACAGCGGATCTGAACACAGTTTCTTCATTTTTTGGCTCTGGGTACAAAAAATCCTTTGGCCATGTCTCTAAGTTCCCATGGAGACCTGGTTTAGCATCATTTTCCCCATGAAACCTGCAACAAAGTGGGGATTGACAAATCATCATTTTTGACCCATGGACAGGTTGTCCTAGCACGAAAGGGACCTGGACGTTTAGGCATTGACGTGGCCACCTCAGTGCCATGCAAGTTGGGGGACATCATCCCAGGGGTACTATCAAGGTGTTTCACTTCAAAAATCTATATCTCTATATCCCTGGTTTGCTTTGAATGGCAGATCACCAACCCCAAGTGTGATAGGGAGATTTCCGAATACCTCCCTGAGGTTTGGATGCTGGGGCCGGAGTTTGTATATTTTTTCTTCACCCTGATTCTGAAGCAACTGCAAGGCGCTGCAACTCTCAGTTGCAGCACTTCATTAGCTAAGGTGGTGCTAAAGAGAGAGGCCAACTTCTGTGTGAAGCTCAGCATTTTCAGTGATCTGACTTGGTCAACTTCTGTAGCTAGTGGAGTACCCAACTCCAGGCGCTTATTTTCATCTTTTCAACAGCTGAAGATGACATAGTGTGTCCATTATCTACTCAGCATGTTGGGAAACTATCAGCCTTCATGTGCCGTGATAGTTGGATTAACTTACGACCAGGAAATGCTCATCAGTCCATAGAGATTCCTATAGATTGATAGGTCATGATAGGTCTTTTTGGGCTGATCTATGATATTCCTGGTATCCCTATAGCCTAGCCTGGTATCATCCCTATTAATGCTACCTATCTATCATTCCATTAGGAATGCCTGATGTGCTCAGCGTTTACTCAGGCGGCCTTTTGGTCTACACCGTCAGTGAAGGTGGCCGAGTCCCTTGGTGCAGCGCTGTTAGTGTAGGATGATCCCAAAATGGCGGGGCAAGGCTGGTGAAGGGAAGATTGTGGGCCTTATGTCAGGTTAGTGAATTATACAAATTTATCCGATTATATATATTTTACATATATAGTTATATAGTATGTGTATATATATATGTATACATAATTTTACACACACACACACATATATAATATATATATATAATACACATCTAGAACAACTTAGAAATGTAAGTAACATTCCCCAGAACCATTTTCCTTTCACAAACCAGACTTCTTGGGAACATTCCAACCCTTTTTTTTGTGGTTCATCGCCTGCAGGTCGATGCCTGGAACAGGCAGAGCCAGATGCCCTACCGGGTCTTACCAGGCGGATGTTCCCGGGTTTTTTTCTGCGCCATAGAAATTAGGGAGGCATTCCCAGGTGAAATTCCTTCGCCCCTCAGTTGCACTCTATTTTTTTGGTGGGATGTTTAAGCTACAGAAAGTAGACTCCAAGAAACTCTAAAGGAGTAAACATTACCAATCACTGGATACGCATTAGACTCCAGACTCATGTAGAAATCCGGAGAACTGCGTTGCAAATTCCATTTCTTTGGTTTCTAGGATATATATATATATATGTATTTTGGTTTGCATATTCTCATTGAATATCAGCATATCATGCTTAGTTTTTCAAGGCAAGCTTAGTTCGATTCGCTTTTCCCCACGTAGCCAGGTGATCACATTTTGGAGGTGAACGACATCAGCATCAGTGGAGACAGCAACGCCCAGAACGACAAGTTCGCAGTCAGGACCGTTCTTTTCTTGAATGGGTATGTCTGAAAATGGGGTATACCCCCAATTATAGCCATTTAGTAGGGATAATGATCAGCAAAACCATGGTGTAGGGGTACACTATTTTCAGACAAACCCAATGGTTTTTTAATGTGAATAAAGATTTTTATAAAGCAAGATTTTTAACCAACCCTAAACCCACTCATTTATGGTGATATTTTTGGGGATGGTTTAACAGTCAATCCTTGGATTTTCGGTGACGAAAATCTGCAGAGTTTTCCCCATCCCAGTGAGATCCTGCCAGGATGATTCAGGAATTGTCCAAGGACCAGAAGAATGTACACTTTACTGCCGGGCAGCATGTTTCATGGGGATCTTTTTCTGTGGCTTTCCATGGGATTCATGGGATCCAAAAAAAACGATCACGAATGAGCTGCTGGTAGATAGCACACCTTAAAGGGGGGGCCGTGCACAAAAGGGCGATCAATGGCCATCAATCAACATGAAATTGTCATGGTCAAGAGAAGCTGGAATTCTCACAGCCCCAATTTTTTTTTGACCATGACCTACATTGGGCTGGCCATTCTTTTTGGCCGCGACAGAACTCGCAAAAAAGACAGATCGAAGCCAGAAATTTTAATCACTACACACGAACTGTTTGATCCATGACTTCAGAGTTGCCCTGTGGTAATTGTGGAAGTTATATCCCAACGGAGATGCTACAGGTTTCAGCTATTTTGAGGCACACCAAATAGGATTTTCCCTTATAAAACCATCCATTTTGGGGTACCCCCATTTTAGGAACCCCCCTCATGGAGGTTGAATGCCCCGCAACTGCAGCCCCCAGGGTTTCTGGCCCCACGACAGCTGCCAGGTCGAACGTGCTCAAAACAGCCTGGGCGAAGAACTAGCATTGCCACAAGATGTGGGGCCCCCTGAGCGCCGGCCATGGGTTTTTAAATGGCAATCCCTAAGCCTGGAAAGGATGGAGAAAACATCATCGAAGTAGCATCCTGGCAGCACTTTTCTATCTTTTTTGGGAAACCCTCCATTAGAAAGAGCTCAATTTGGTAGACTTGAGTACGGTTTATGATTGGAAACAAGCACATTGGGGGAGAACCTATGTGTCGCATCTTGAGGATGAGAGTCTGGTGCTTCCAGGCTGGCGGGGCAGGGTTCAGATTCCGGAGAGGATGATGCTTCACAAAGTCAAAATCTGATTGGCAGCAGTTTCTTCTATGCCATATGATACTTGTTGC